GGCGCGAGTCCCCTCACGGGGTCCAGGCGCGAGCTCCCTCAGGTGAATGAGGCGCGAGCCCTTCAGGTGGACAAGGCGCGAGCCCCCTCAGGGCGGAGTGGAGCGGCGCGAGCCCCCTCAGATGGACGAAGCGGGAGCCCCCTCATGGCGGAGCTCCCTCAGGTGAATGAGGCGCCAGCTCTTCACCTGGAAAAGGTGCGACCCCCCTCAGGGCGGAGCGGCGCCAGCCCCCTCAGGTGAATGAGGCGCGAGTCCCCTCAGGTGAATGAGGCGGGAGTGCCCTCAGGTGAATGAGACGCGAGCTCTTCAGGTTGGCAAGGTGGGAGCCCCTCATGGCAGAGAGGAGCGAGCCGCCTCAGGTGGACAATGCGCGAGCCCCCTCAGGTGGATGAGGCGCGAGACCCTCATGGCGGAGCTCCCTCAGGTGAATGAGGCGCGAGTCCCCTCAGGTGAATGAGACGCGAGCTCTTCAGGTTGGCAAGGTGTGAGCCCTTCATGGCGGAGTAGCGCCAGCTCCTCAGGTGGACAATGCGCGAGTCCCCTCAGGGCAGAGTGGCGCGAGCCGCCTCAGGTGAATGAGGCGCGAGCCCTTCAGGTGGAGAAAGCGCGAGCCCCCTCAGGTGGACACAGCGCGAGCCCCCTCATGGCGGAGCTCCCTCAGGTGAATGAGGCGTGAGCTCTTCAGGTGGACAAGGCGCGAGCCGCCTCAGGTGAATGAGGCGCGAGACCCTCATGGCGGAGTGGCGCCAGCCCCCTCAGGTGAATGAGGCGCGAGCTCTTCAGGTGGACAAGGCGCGAGCCCCCTCAGGTGAATGAGGCGCGAGCTCTTCAGGTTGGCAAGGCGTGAGCCCCTCATGGCGGAGAGGAGCGAGCCGCCTCAGGTGGACAATGCGCGAGCCCCCTCAGGGGTCGAGGCGCGAGCCCCCTCAGGAGAATGAGGCGCGAGCCCTTCAGGTGGACAAAGCGCGAGCCCCCTCAGATGGGCACAGCGCGAGCCCCCTCAGGGCGGAGCTCCCTCAGGTGAATGAGGCGCGAGCTCTTCACCTGGAAAAGGCGCGAGACCCTCAGGGCGGAGCGGCGCCAGTCCCCTCAGGTGCATGAGACGCGAGCCCTTCAGGTTGGCAAGGTGGGAGCCCCTCATGGCGGAGTAGCGCCAGCTCCTCAGGTGGACACGGCGCGAGTCCCTCAGGTGGACAAAGCGCGAGCTCCCTCAGGTGAATGAGGCGCGAGCTCTTCACCTGGAAAAGGCGCGAGCCCCTCATGGCGGAGAGGCGGGAGTGCCCTCAGGTGAATGAGACGCGAACTCTTCAGGTTGGCAAGGTGGGAGCCCCTCATGGCGGAGTAGCGCCAGCTCCTCAGGTGGACAAAGCTCGAGCCCCCTCATGGCGGAGAGGCGCGAGCCCCCTCAGGTGAACGAGGCGCGAGCCCCCTCAGGTGAACGAGGCGCGAGCCCCCTCATGGCGGAGAGGCGCGAGCTCCCTCAGGTGAACGAGGCGCGAGCTCCCTCAGGTGAACGAGGCGCCAATCCCTCAGGCCCCTCACGGGATGGGCGGAGGGCCGGCAGCGCGGAGAACCCTTGGAGGATCTATAGGAGCCGAAACCCCCAGACGGATGCACGGCGGGAGGTGCGCGAAGCCCATGGAGAGCGTGCGGGAGCTGCGGTCCAGGTAAGTGCGGAGGCGGCGGCTGGAACAAGTCATGGCAGCCGAGCGCGGTTTGACGGCACGCGAAACCCCTCGCAGGGAGGGGCGGCCTGAAAGCCCTCACGGGTCTGCTGAGGGGGCTGAAACCTCTGCCGGGGTTTGCTGAAGGGTCTGAAACTCCTGACGGGTCTGCTGAGGGGGCTGAAAGCTGTCCCTGCTCTTGCTCGGGGTGTGGAACCCGTCATGAGTGCGTTGAGGATGCTGAAAACTCTCATGGGTGTGCTGAGGGTGCTGAAACTGTCCTGGGTGTGCTGAGACCCTCCCGGGTGTGCTGAGGGTACTGAGACCCCTCTCGGGTGTGCTGAGACCCCTCCCGGGTGTGCTGAGGGTGCTGAGACCCCTCTCGGGTGTGCTCAGACCCTCTGGGTTGTGCTCAGACCCCTCTCGGGTGTGCTGAGACCCTCTGGGTTGTGCTGAGACCCCTCTCGGGTGTGCTCAGAGTCTCTGGGTTGTGCTCAGACCCCTCCTGGGTGTGCTGAGGGTGCTGAGACCACTCCCGGGTTGTGCTGAGACTCTGGGTTGCGCTCAGACCCCTCTGGGTTGTGCTCAGACCCCTCTCGGGTGTGCTCAGACCCCTCTCGGGTGTGCTCAGACCCTGTGGGTTGTGCTCAGACCCTCTGGGTTGTGCTCAGACCCTCCCGCGTGTGCCGCGGTCTCCGGAGCCGCTCCCGGAGCCGCTCATGGCCGAGTCCCTGGGGACCTCCCGGAGGCCGCCGGGCTGGGCGGGAACACGTGAGGGGCTCAGCGAGGGGCGGCGGGGTCCCTCCATCTTCTCCATCTTGTGAGCCCCGCCGCGCCGTCCCGCCCGCTTCCTCCCGCCCTCCTCCTCCTCCTCCTCCTCCTCCTCCTCGTCATTGTCTGCGAGCGGCGGCGGCGGCGCTTATAAGGCGGCGGGCATTGCCCGGATGTGAGCGGCGGGCGATGCGGCTGCCCGGGCGGGATGCGATCGGCCGCGGCTCGGCGGGGGAGGCCGCGCTGCTGAGCCGGACGAGGCGGCGGGCGCTGCTCTAAACTTGGATCAAGTTGGGCAACGGGCGGCCCCGCGCTCCCCCGAGGGGGGAGTCGCCTGGTTTTGGTTTTTTTTTTTTTTTCCGGGGTTTGGGGTTTTTTTGTTTTTTTTTTTTTTTTTTTTTTTTCCCCCCCTCTTCTTTTTTTTTTTTTCGGGGTGTTTTTTTTTTGGTTTTTGGGGTTTTTTTTTTTTTTTTTGGTTTTTGGGGTTTTTTAAAGGAAGGACAAGGAGGGGGCAAGTCCCCGAGAGCCGCGGCGCTGCGAGCCCATCACCATGTGTCTGTAAAAACAATAAGGCAAAAGTTGTCGGACTTTCTTTTTTTTTTTTTTTTCATTTTTTTCTTCCTTGGTTTTTTAATTTTTCAATTTTTTAAATCTAATTTATATTTTTTTCGTGGCCGGTGGCCGGGCCCCCCAAATCCCAACAAAGCCAGGTGTAGTGTGCCTGTAAAGCTGTGGAATAACCCGGAGCAGGACTGACACTTTCCCTACTTTTTGGTGGTTTTGGAGGGTCACACACGTGTGAGACAATAAAGCACTTTGGCAGAAGACTCCTCTCTTTTTACTTTGATTATTTTTATTCCTTTTCTTTTTTTTTTCATTTTTTCCCCCCTTGGAATATTGTGAACATATTTGTGGCCATTTAAGGTAAAGTTCCAATTTGCTGTTAGACTAACTTGTCTGTGTTTTTTTTTTTTTTTCTTCTTTCATTTTTATTTTTTTGATTGAAATTGTCGATCCCGATGTGTTATTTAAAAAAAAAAAAGAGAGAGAGAGAGAAGAAAGTGCAAGTTCCGGGCAGTGTAAATCTATACATTGTGTATACATTGCATAGAGACGATGTAACTACACGTGTGGCAGATACACCAAGGTGCAGACGCGGGGACTCGCTGCTTTATTTCCTACCGGAACACGAACTCCGAGCAGTTCGTTCGAGTGGTGTCTGGCCTGCGAGAGGAAAAAACGGAATAAAAGTGGCAGAGGGGATGAGGGAAGAAGGAAAGGGAGGGGAGGGGGGCTGGCAGCATCCCCAAAAACTTGCGCGTAAATCCAAGGGGCTGCTTTGCAAACTTTGCGGTGATGCTCCGGGAAAACGGCAAAGCTGGCGTTCAACCGGGCTGGATGGAGACGGGGGGGGTGCTGGCGACTAAAGCGACCAAAACAAAGCAGCGTTCTATAGAAAAAAAAAAAAAATATCCAAAAAAAAAAAAAAAAAAAA